ACTTTATATTTTTATAAAACTTAATTATTCTCTTCTCTATCTTTTTTTCTCTTATAATCTCTTTTCTAATATATTTATATTCTATTTTTTTTCTTATAATATTATCCTTATTTAACTTACTCTTACTTATCTTACTTTAAAATATTTTTAAAGTACTTATTAATTATGTTATAGTTATTTCTACATTAATAAATATCTATTATCTCACTTAAGATAGTAATGTCTATTAAGATGCTGGATAGAAATCTAAGCCTATGTTTGTTAATACTACTGAGAAGGTATATAACTTAGAGAATTTTTATAGTATTTAGGCTGACCTGACTGTTTTTTCTGAGCTGGTAAACCCTGTCCGTCACATTTACTAGACTGTGGAGAACTAGACTGTGCAGCTTCAGGACAAGGAGGAGCTCATAGAAGAAGAATGCTACAACTAGCTGGGTTATGGCTTTCTAATCTAGATGAGGTAAATGATTCTTACTGTTATCTTTAGTGCTTAAGTCTTTAAGGATTTTAATACCGGTGTCTACTCTAATGCTCTTAGCGGTATTTATGAGGACTTATATATCTCTGAATAGACTGTTTACTGTGGTACTATAATCCTCTTAGGCCTTTATTGTATAGTGTAGTGTTACTTTAATTATGGAAACTAGGGAAGCATTCGTTTCTAGTAATGAGTTGATTATGCTCTATCATGGTTGTATGATATAGAACTAGGCTATTTATATTAATTTATGTTTAATTTGTCTTACTCTTCTTCTAATTTTCTGATTTTACTTCCTTATTCTCTAAAAAATTGTAATCTTATTCTTCATCTTCTCTATTATAATCATCATTATCGTCCTTATTATTGTCCCTATCCTCGTCCTTATTCTCGTCCCTATCCTTGTTCCTATCATTATCTTTATACATAGACGCAGTATCTGTATTAATATAAGCAGGATTATTGGTTTTAATCTATTCACACTCCTCCTCAGATGCAGACAACTCCCTTCTGTTAGTGGTATTGCTAAAGTCTTGTTTGCGATAGTACTCGTCCTCTGTGCGCCGAATTTCTGTTTATTGTGTTTGTAGGATATGCTGTGCAAGGCTATGCCAATTCTGTATATATGATTATGTAGCATCACGGTCCGGCCCAAGTAGAAGAGCAGCAATGGATATAGCGCCAGCCTTTTATGGCTGCTGGGCTAGAATGGCCCGACCTAGGTTATCGATGCCGCTAAGAGGGGTAAGATAGGATAATCTGTAGTAGTCTGGTATCTCTATGAACTGCGCAGCCTGCCTGTTGGTATTAGTGTATAATGGATGGCAATTGGCGCGGGCTTTCTCCAGCTGAGGGTAGCGGATTGTGTCTTTATATTCTGGATGAGTGAAATAAACCTGATATGCGAGGATCTGTTCATTCTCATGACCGTGGGGTTTTGAATATGGTGTTATGGGGATACATCTGTCCCAGATCACCGCGCTTAATGTAGAAACTGTCGCTTCAGTGACGGGGAATATCTGGGTCTGGGACTGATGCACCTTTATAGTGATGTTGGGATTTACCCGAACTGGCACGGGGGCAAATTCAAGTGGATTGTTTAGTTCTTTGCACTTTTTTGCAAATTGTAGAGCAACTGCCCTGCTGGTTCTAAATGGTATGGTATGGTATTGCATGCTGGCACTGTTCTGGTTGATGATAGGGACAACACCATATAAAGAAGTGCAGTATGTGTCCTCGCCATCCCAGTTTGGATCATACATCCAGATGGATAAGGACACAGTTTGAGGGTGTGCGTAGATGGCTGGCAGGGGAATCGCCATGGTATGAGGATCGAGTGCATTCTCTTTATGGAAGAATGGCCGAAGATAATGCTGTATGATGAAAAGAACTGGATCTATTTGCATAAGATGCTGGGTAAGGGTGTATTGGAAGAAGGCGCGGACTGGAGATGTATTGTTTTCTAGTTTATGTTTAGTCTTTAAATGATGTTTGAAAGTGTCAAATTCCTTCTGGGCAATCTTGGCTATGGTGGGTGTGTGATTATTGTTCCACCACGAAAACAACTTCTTTAAGGTGATCAAGCTCTTGGTGCGAAAACTATGGCCAAGATTGTCGCCTGTGATATGGTATTGATGGAGAATATCTGATAAAATATCTGCCAGGCCCGCTTCGGTTACTGTGATGTTGAAGAATGCGGGAGATAGTTTAGTATTGATGTCTTTAATAGGAACATTGTGGAAAGGTTCCAATTTGTTAATTGAAATCTTGCGGTATTTGATACGGTTGTGGTGGAACCATTTGGACCGAGTTGTATGATGGACGTTTCTTTGATATCACTCGTCCCGACTGCTAGCGTGTTTGGCGACCGCATGGAACTGGTGGATAACTGTGGAAAGCCTTTGGCGTCGAATGTTTATGTTAATAGCTGTAGCTAATGTACTTATGTGATTGTCATATATGATTTTATTTCTCTTGGTCGTTAGAGAATCCTTCATAGCTTTAAGATTGGTAGCGATTGCATGGAACACTGCAATTGCTCGAACTTCATTGTGGGGATTCTGTTTGTTATACCTCGCTAAGCTAGCCACAGCCTGAATATTTGTATTACTCATTACCCGCGCATAGGCGCACCGATCCTTCACGTGGCGGTTTCTATGAGATTTTGTTTGGCTGACATTGGTTTTTGTTGTGTTGGTGGTAGATTGTATGATAGGGGCCGGCGTAGGTTGTACGTCAGGAATTGGTGTAGGTTGTGGTTTTTCTCTCTGTTCTTTGCTTTGAAGCATGTCTAATAACCGGTGGGCGGTGTCAGCCCTAGAGGCGAGGTCATCTTCTTCATGATCCTGTGCTGTATCGCGGGTTGGTCTATTCCCAAGGTGCTCTGGGGCAGGGGGCCCGGGAGCACCCAACTTGTCACGCTCGGGGTTCGCAGATTCAACCATTGGAGCATTATCGTCGCCTATGTGCTCTGGGGCAGGGGGCCTGGGAGCATCCAACTCGTCACGCTCGGGGTTCGTAGATTCAACCATTGGAGCATTATTGTCGCCCATGTGCTTTGGGGCAGGGGGCCTGGGAGCACCCAACTCGTCATGTTTGGGGTTTGCAGATTCAACCATTGGAGCATCATCGTCGCCCATGTGCTCTGGGGCAGGGGGCCCGGAAGCACCCGACTCGTCACGCTCGGGGTTTGTAGAATCAACCATTAGAGCATCATCATCGCCCATGCGCTCTGGGACAGGGGGCCCGGAAGCACCCGACTCGTCACGCTCGGGGTTCGTAGAATC